TTCTCTTCCCTGAGCAACAGTTGGGGAACTAGTCACATGCCACAAGAATGTTCTGAAGCTTTGCTGCAAGGCCAGTTTGTTCCCTGCAATCAGGGGTGATATAGGAAATACCTAAAAAAAAATAATAATAAAATAATAGGGACAGAGGCACTCTGGGCCAGAGCAGGGCGAGGGGGCCCCCTCCGTGTCTACTGTTAACACTCCGGTTGCTGCTCTCATAGAACTCCCAGCAGTCCTGGGGGAGGGCAGAGAGCACTGGAGGAGCTCAGATTAAGAAGTATTCTAACAATTCCTGTAGCAGTAACAGCTCATACTGAGTATCAGCCTTCCCTATGTCCTCTTGACTCCTCCTCCAAGTTCTCGAGGCCCAAAGTATGTGAATAGGACAAGTCACACACTTCTCTTGGCCCAGTCTTCCTTTTCTGGTGAGTTTTTAAACACACAGATACTCATCTTCCCGTTGTTTTTCCTTAAGCAACATCTGAATTGGCGTGCGACTGAAGAAAAATCTCACTGTCAAATACACTCCAAAGCGAGTCCCAGATTTAGCAGGAGATTCTGTAAAATGCTGTAAACTATTGCAATAAAGATCCCACTGCAGTCATTGGGTGGATAGTGGAGCACAGAAAACAGAGCAGAGGACTTGCCATTTACCAGAGTCATTCAATTAAACAAAGAAACCCAAAAGAGAACTCCTCCAAGAAAATTGTTTTATGGCACATAATGAAAAACAAAACAAAACAAAACTTGCTTTCGACTTTTTTTTTTTTTTTAATCAAAAGGCTGTTTAAAAAGATGACTGTAGAGTGTACGTCACTTCTCCCGGATCTGCTGTGCAGAAGTGCGTAAGTGTGAGTGATGTAGAGGTACTTGTTTATTATAGAGCACATTTCAATGCAGTAATCATAAATATTGCTAAGGTTGTGCTCTGTTGAAATATGACCTACATACTCTTGATTGTTTGTGTTACGTGATTTGTCTGACACCCATTACATTCTGGGTAATAGCAGCCATTTGTTGCTCTGCACAGCAGGCTCTTTTGACAAAAGAAAATAGGCAGCAATAAAAAAGCTATAGGCTGAATTACATTCTGCACAGAGCTGCACTGCTGAGAGTTTGTGCAAGTGTGTTAACAATGCTCTGAACTGCCTCTTGTCAGCCTTCAGCCTGTAATGGCCATCTGTCCTCCCATAAATCTGTCGAAACCTGCTAAGTTCAAGAGAGAGCACGGAATATACCTTGTACTGTCAACACCAAAGTGTACATATTCCCCGGGAAATCAACACGCAGGAAATAATCTGGAGGTTATGGAAGGCATTAGACTGTTGGTTTAGGCTGGTGGGATGAAATGGAGGATCTGGCGATTAGTGGGAAGATGAGCAAAGGTAGTGGCAAAAAAGAATTGGTATTGACTGCCCTCCAACCACAGGGGAAAGGGTAGGGAAGATGGGGTGAGAGAAATCCAATTAGTTTGGGTACAGCAAAGGGTCCCCTGTCCCATCAGCCACTCTTAAAAGTTTGATACTATGTGGAAAGAAGAAAAAAAAGTGCTTCTTACATTGTTGTTTTGCTTTGGGTTTCAACTGTCTCTGGAAATAGATTTTCAATTAGGCACTGGTAGTTGGAGGTCTTATGAGTCTTAAGATTTTTCAGTCTTGCTTGAAGGCACTCCCTGATTAAAGATGCTTCAGTAAACAATAAAAAGTTTAAGGAATTATCTGCCTGTCCAGCTGGGCTCAGTGGTTAAGCATCAACCTAAGAACCAAGAGGTCACGGTTCGATTCCTGGTCAGAGTCCCTGACCTGGTTGTAGCCTCAATTCCAGTGTGGGGTGTGCAGGAGGCAGCCAATTGGTGATTCTCTCTCATTACTGATGTTTCTATCTCTCTCTCCCTCTCCCTTCCTCTCTGAAATCAATAAAAATATATTAAAATTTAAGGAATTACCTAAAATATTTTCCCTACTCACTCATCTTAAAGTAACTTTTATCCACTAAGCAAGAAATTATTTGTTATTACAAGTAGTGCCCATAGAAATTTACAGCCCTGATAGTTTCACTCCCAGGGTCTACTTGGTTAATTCTGGGAGTTTCTGTACATTTTAAGCACACATGCAAGAATATACACTTACTTCAAATTTTAAAGACACATTTTAATTTTGTCTCTTTATTAGAAAGAACTATGCAGCCCCTGGGGCAGAGTCTCTGAAATTTCAGCGGCTGTTGTGGGTAGCATCCAACACACAGTAGGAGTTCAGGGACTGTCCCTTCAGTTGCCACAGGCTACCCATACGTGAAGGAGGTGAAAGGCTCTGTTTTTAACTCAAAGACACTACAATCAGGGTATTGCCACTCCCAAGAGCAACTTGAGAGTCACTTATTTAAGTGGTAATGAGCTTAGGTACTAGGACAAGGGTTTCACATGTTCAAGACTAAAAAGGATTTCTATATTTAAAATCCCTAGATAGCTGAGTTATTTTTAGAACTAGTTTCTCTTTAATAGTGGCCTAATTTGGTGTTTCTGAAGTTTAGGGTTTCTTTTCATAAGCCTAGAATGTCTGTCAAAATACATGGACCTGAGTAGGCAGCAGTGCACCTCATGGGCTCTGTAGGACAGTGGCTCCCCATATGTGGTCTGTGAACCAGCTCATTATAAATGTTTAACCAGCTTCCCAAGTGATCCTTGGGCCACTGAAATGTGGGGTTCACCAGTGAAGGAGGATCTAGAAAAATAAAAACAAAAAAGAGTACAACTTTTTGCAAAAATAAGACATCCTCTTAAGAATTTATAATCTATTTGAAGAGATAAGATATAATTCACATTCAAAAAAGACAAGCAAGACTATACAGCTATCTCTGATAAGTATCAAGTGGTTGATCCTGGCAGTAACTTATTGGGAAAGTAAAAATTACCTTAATCTGAGGTGTCATGAAAAGATTTATAGAGTTATAATTTTAGTATGTTGAATGTCATTTCCCCCAATTCAAGGGCTATGACATTTGGAATATTTGACTGTTATTTACTCGGCAAAGATAGATTGTCCAGCATTGTTTCTTTGTGCATTTTAGCCTTCTATGAGAAATATTTAAGAACTTCTCATTTCTTTTCTGGGTATTAATATCATTAAATTTGTTGCCATGGTAATTGAAGGTAACACATGGTAGAAATCAGTATGTGTAAATGGGCAGTGCAAAAAGTAAAGAAATAAGAAAAAAAGAGAGAGAAAAGAAAAGATTGACCACATAGGAATTTCTAAAATTGAGTAAAAGACATATTTGTCCATGAAAAAAGAAAGAAAGGAGTGTGTATCTCAGTAACCTGGGTGGTTCATTCAATGATATGTCACCTTATTATCTATAAGCAAAGAGGGGTAGGCAGAGGGACTGTTAATGAAGGAGGGCTTTTATGAGACTCTTTGTGTTTGTATTTCCTGGTGTTTCTGAAATTTTCTGGGATGGATTTCCAAAGTGAAATCACTTTGCATTTTTGTCCCCTTTCTTACCACATAAGGCAGAATTAGCTATGCATAATAAAATTGCCAAAGAGTGGCAGAAACAATTTCATTTTAGGTAAAGTGTCCATTTCTTTCATCTCTTTATTGTAAAGTAGGAGAGAGAGGCAGTGTCTTTGTTCATACCAAAATTTCACGTGGCTTTCTGTGACCTACTTGGTTCTCTCTCTATAAACACACACACACACACACACACACACACACACACTTTTTTTCCCCCCAGGAAGGTAGAATTTCTCTGCCTTTCCTTGAAATATGCAGTTGCCTTAAGTCTAACCTGAGGCTTGTTAGCACACTTGAAGTTCTTTTTTGCTGAATAGCATTCATCCATTCTTCTAAATAGAAAGTCTACTGTAAACTAAAATGCTCCCTCCAAAGCATGAAGTCATTTGAACTTCAGTATTCCCTTTTCCAAATTTCCTTGGACTCAGAAGCTGTATTGCAATTACCCTTCCTCATTCTAAAGGGATGAACATCACCTACTCAGGGGCAACTACACTTCAAGAGGCAACTATACTTCACAGACTCTCCCACAGGGACTGCTGATGTAATTTTCTGCCCTTTTGTAGAAAATCACAAAAGGAAACAAACAACTAATGGGGTTTCCCCCTTTTTCTTTATTTAAAAAAATTAAATTAGTTAGTTGCTGAAGCTTGGATTCCTTTCAGTCCTTCAGTCTCATAACCTGCCTTAATGTTGAGCTTTAATAAAATGGTCCCCTGTCACTGCAATAATTCATGTTACTGTTCAGTTTGGTTTCTGCTGCAGAACCATATTTTAGACAGAATGTATTAGTTATGCTTACAAGAATGTATTATACCTACATTAGCCACGGTTTACAAAGTTAATGAACTGTGGCGACAAAGAATTGTTGCCATCGAGTTGTAGAGTTGTCTAGTTCCCTGCATTCACATGTTGTATTTTACTGAACTTACTTCCACGTTGCCTATGTCATTCCGCATTTGCCATCATCCATCTATTTTTTTTTAAGTTTTCAAATTCTCTGGCTTCACCGGTAGATTTCCTTGATTGAACAAAAATCCTGAGCCACTTGCATCCTTGGCAGCATTCTTTGCAGACAAAAGCTATCAAAGCTATTCCCTGGTTCTCCTGAGCCCCACTGCTTGCATTTCCCATAATGCAGAGGATGTGATGCCCTTGGAAATCTGACCTTTGGTGGTGCCTGGCGCCTAGAGGTCAGGAGGAATGCATTAATGCTTCCATGAAAGCAGGTCTGTTAGCATTGGTGTTTGAAATATACAATATCATGACTCGCACAGCTGCCTGGCACAGTTGATCCATCTTTTCTTGGAGACAGGAGCTTAGGGGGGAGAGAGTTATTTTAGCAGGTGTTGTCCTGAATTTCGTTTTCTTCTTTTTCACCCAGTTTTAACCATTGTCTGAAATCTCAGTAAAGTTAGGAAAATGTATCCTAGCATTTAAGAACATTGTCTCTTCTCTCTCTCCCCACCACTTTTTTCCCCCCCTTAGGCCTAACTCCACCCACAACTCCTCCTCATAAAGCCAACCAAGACAATCCTTTCAGGGCTTCTCCAAAGCTGAAGTCCTCTTGCAAGACTGTGGTACCTCCGCCATCGAAGAAGCTCCGGTACAGCGAATGTCCCGGTACCCAGGGTACCCAAGGCAACAACTCCACCAAGAAAGGGCCCGAGCAATCTGAGTTGTATGCGCAACTCAGCAAGACCTCAGTGCTCACCAGTGGACACGAGGAAAGGAAGGCTAAGCGGCCCAGTCTACGGCTGTTTGGTGACCATGACTACTGTCAGTCAATCAATTCCAAAACAGAAATACTCATCAATATATCACAGGAGCTCCAAGACTCTAGACAACTAGAATACAAAGATGCTTCCGCCAGTGGGCAGGGGCAAATTTGTTCCTCCACGGATTCAGACACGTGCTGCATGAGAGAGACTCTGCAGGGGAGCAAACAGGTCTCTCCTTTCAGCACCAGGAAACAGCTCCAGGACCAGGAGATCCGTGCTGAGCTCAACAAGCACTTCGGTTATCCCAGTCAAGCTGTTTTCGACGACGAAGCAGACAAGACCAGTGAACTGAGGGACAGTGATTTCAGTAACGAACAATTCTCCAAACTACCTATGTTTATAAATTCAGGACTAGCCATGGATGGCCTGTTTGATGACAGCGAAGATGAAAGTGATAAACTAAACTACCCTTGGGATGGCACGCAGTCCTATTCATTTTTCGATGTGTCCCCTTCCTGCTCTTCCTTTAACTCTCCATGTAGAGATTCCGTTTCACCACCCAAATCCTTATTTTCTCAAAGACCCCAAAGGATGCGCTCTCGTTCAAGGTCCTTTTCTCGACACAGGTCGTGTTCTCGATCACCCTATTCCAGGTCAAGATCAAGGTCCCCAGGCAGTAGATCCTCTTCAAGGTAAATCTTGTCAACACCCACCCAGAGCAAAAGACATTCCTAGGATATAAAACAAACAAATAAAAAATACATCACAACCCAACAAAAACATTTAAAGCCACAGGCAGGCCAGCTCCTCACCACTGCGTTCGAGTGTCACTGAACTAATGAGATTGTTGTTACACATACATCGCTCCTCATCTTCTCTTAAATCTGTCAGCCTTGAGCACAGTGCCTTGAGCCAGTCAGATCAGAGAGAGCAATTTGTAAGAAACTTGCTCATCTAACTTTTTCCATTACCTGGAGAGCTGCCCTGTGCAAGGATAGTTGAGATCCATGCAAGATAAAGCTGACAGTGTACCAGACTGGCGCTCGGCGTTAACATCAATAAGAGATGCTGGAGAGAACACATCACTCCCAGACCTCTGAGCTGACTAGATGATCAGAAACTGTCACTGGGAAATCTCACTAGTCTCTAGGAAGAAAAAGCCAGTTTATGTAATACAGCGTTCTTGGGCATGTTCAGTCATGCTGATCAACAGGGGTTAAGTGGCAGTTGCAAATGCCCTTTTTGTTTTTCTCTTCTCTCCCCAGATCTTGCTACTACTATGAGTCAAGCCACTGCAGACACCGTGCACACCGAAATTCTCCCCTGTGCTCGAGATCACGTTCAAGATCACCCTACAGCCGTAGGCCCAGGTAATGATGCATGTCATTTTCCTTGGGCTCCTCTCATCCCGGCCTTTAGATGACAAGATGTTATCTAAACCTTGCCCCTCCCCAGCTTATTATTCATTTTGCTCGTGCCACTGGAGGTGGTTGACTTAATGATGAAGTTGTGTTTCTCAGGTATGACAGCTACGAGGAATATCAGCACGAAAGGCTGAAGAGGGAAGAATACCGCAGAGAGTATGAGAAGCGCGAGTCTGAAAGGGCCAAACAAAGGGAGAGGCAGAGGCAGAAGGCAATTGTAAGCAGCTTGGAGCTAACTTTCGTTTTAAATGAGGGTTTCTCTTTTGTTCCCTTTTCTCTCCTCTTTTTTTATTTTTATTTTTTTTATTAAAAATAAACTAAAGCCTAGGCTTTGTTAGAATATGCAATATCCAGCTTCTTGACATTAAAACATCAGTGAGTCCCCAATCTCTCTTCACACAGATTATTGGAGAGCCAAATGTTAAATGAGTAAAGCTTATTCATCTCATTCATCTTGAAGCTAATTACTGTGTTCAAAAATGGAGGCAGGAGAGAGTTATTCAGTCAGGCACTGGTTCCATAGGGTCAATGGATGAGTTCTTCTTGCTCTTTTCTCTGAGTGGAAAATGAGGCGGGATTACTGTTCTGTCTTTTTGGCAGGTGTGATGATTATATTGTCCATGAGGAGACTGGGTCTCTTAGATTTAAAGGAGGTAGTAGAAGAAAATTTGCTAAGAAAGTCATCATTTCTTTCTTGTGCTGGGTCAACACCTAACTGGGCAGTTGACTCATCACATTTCTTATGAACTATTTGTCAATAACCCATTATGTATTTTGGCACCACTTATGGCAGGGCATTATATTCACATGACATATAGACCATACTGACCCTTCACTGGAAAGATTGAGGTTATGTTAAATTATTTTTTTCCCTGTGGATCAGTATGTTTTTTAGCAGCTACTTACTAACTGGTAGACTTTACCTGCCTCCCACCCATTGCTTATCAATCTAGATCTTGGAAGACAGATATGAGACACTCTAGTTGTCAGTGTCTAGTGCTTGTCCATGGCAGACATTGTTAATTGATTATGGCACTGTTTCCCACCAAAGGCCCCGTAGAGTCTCAAGATGCTCCAGGGAGCCATGGATAATTGGTTAGAAATGGTACTGCTTTTGTTCATTGCAATTGCTGCCTGTCTTGCTAGCTATTGAGAATCATTTCCATGAAGATTAGCTTATGACCTATCTTGCATACAAGGAAACCAAGACTTAGGGAATGGAATTTTAAAGGGTAGATGGATATGGTTCCTTTAAGAAAACCCATACCATCAATGAAATCTTGAAAAACCTACAGAAAAAAATTATTAATGAAGTCAAAATCAAGCATTGGCCAACAGTTATCTGCTGGAAGAAAAATGTTAAATAAGAGATTTGTTAATTGTAGGCACTCAAGGGGAAAAAAGGGAGATATAATTGAATACTTAGGCTAAAGGTCTAGGGTGTTTGCTGTCACTTAACTTTAAATCTACCTATGACTGAATCATGGGTCTTTTGAAAATTACAACACTTTTCCTCATTTTTTTTCTCAACTTTCAAATGAGCTGTGATATTAAGATCTGTCAGAGTGTCATTAGTTAACACTTAAGAAGACTAATGAAAATTAAAAATTCAATATTTCTAATTTTGCTGTTTTTAACTAATAGCCTATTCAATAATTATAATAACTCACATTTATATAGTGCCATGTAGTTTACAAAGCCTTTTAATATGGCATATTATAGTTAATCTTTATAAAAGAGAATCGTGTTGCATAAGCCTATAAGAAAAATAGTTATTTCAGTGTTTGCAAATTCATATTTTATAAAAGCCTTCATGTTTCTTTTTAGAAGTATGCCATTAAAGAGAGAGATTAATTATTGAATAATATACTTACTCACTTGGGCAAAATACAGCATAGCTATAACCAAAGCTATATAAATAAATGTAGATAAATTACATTTGCTTATTTTATTCCTTCCAAAGATAATTTAGTGCCAGATACTTAGCTAGAGTCTAGAAAGGGAGGTAGCATCGAACACACTGTCCAACCTATGAGGGAAAGTGGAGGGGGGGAGAGAGATGAGGTGAGGCGGTAAGAGAAGGGATCAACCAAAAGACTTGTATGCATGCACATGAGCATAACCAATGGACACAGTTGGAAGAAGGGGGTGAGGGAATGTACTAGGGTGGGAGTGGGAGTGACCGGGAAAAGGATAATGGGGGGGGGGGCTTATGTAATACTTCAAATAATAAAGCATTTAAATTTTAAAAAGAAAGGAAGGAAGGTAGGTGCCTTTTTGCTAGTTTAACTTTTTTCAAATAGATCTAATAGCATGATTGATCTACAGTCCATAAGCATCTTGAGCCAAAAGCATCTTAGGTCATTAACCTCTTGAAAGCAAATACAACCCCACCTTCTCATTTTGTCACAAATATTGAATGTTCATAGTTAATTATTTGACTAAGACAATCTTTTATCAGTTTTCTTTGGAAGATGGCTTTTATAGTACAAATGACAACTTGGATTATATTAGATAATTATAAAATAACCTTATATTTTTGAGAATATTGACTCTTTTTTTAAAAAAAACAACAATCTATGACCTAGAGATTATTTTCTGTCACAGTGATCTCTAGATAGTAAGAGCTTAATATAAAGATTTGGGACTCACTGTTAAACCAATATGCACTTCAATAACTATATGCTATTTTTGTTTAACATAGTGAAAGCTCATGACCCTTTAGGTGACAAACATTTTATTGGTGTTGAGGATATAAATTTAGGTAAGACTTGGTGCTCTACAGCCAGGGAGCTTCAAGTCTACTGGGAAATAAAGATAAACCAAGAGGCAATGAGGTGTGTTAAGTGCTATTGTAGAAGATACATCTAAGGTGCTATGGTGACATATAGATGGGCATGCAGACCTGGGAATGAGGGAGGTCATCCTTGAAAAGGGTGAGGTTGATCTGTAACCAAAGGGATGGAAGGTAAAAGTTTGCTAAACCTGTGCTGTCCAACATAGTAGCTGTTAGCTAAGTGGCTAATTCAGCTAGTCCCAAATTTGAATGCACTATAAGTGTGATTGGATTTTAAAGACTGTACAAAAAAAGGGTGTAAGATAACTTCATTAATATTTTTATATCAATGACAAGTTGAAATGATATTTTTGAGACATTGAGCTAAATAGAATACATCATTAAAATTAAATTTCTGGGTCCTTTTTACTTTGAAAATGTGCCTCTTAGGATATTTAAAATTATGTGAGCTGCACTATATTCTTCTTGGACATTGCTATTCTAGGCTGAGGCTATAACTCATACTAAATTTCTGGAAAAAAGCAAGGTATATTGAATCTTGTAGTCATTTAACTAGAACACTTGGGTATAAGAGCAGCAAAAAATAAGTCTGGAGGGCTCCTTGGTAGCCAAATCTTTGAAAGGTTCTATAAGTCATGATAAAGATTTTGAAGTCTATCTTGGAGGCATAGTGGAACTACTTAATGAATTTACCCACAGGATTGATTTCCTTCCTCAAAATGATCTGCTTTCTTATGCCAAAATATATTTTGCAAAGTTTATTTTTATGTACTTGGGCACAGAGATACAGGCAATGATTTTTGAGTCATTGGAATATATTAGCTTGAAAAGTCATTCATGAAACAGTTAAAGAACTAGGACAGTCTACCCAAGTTGGTCAAGTCATTTCCCTTCAGAGTTTTGAGATACTCTTAAAGTAATAAATGAGTAGCAAATTATGTTTGGAATGCTTTGGGTGTAGTTCAGGATTTTACATTAATTCTGATCAATCATATCATTAGGGAACCAAGAAAACAGAGTTACCATAAGGAGAAAAAATTAATGTGAAAGTCATTTAGTAATAGGTATTCTACAGAATTAAGGTAGTCTTTGTTACCTTTGTTTTTGGTTCATATTGTTTTTGCTTTGAGTTCTGTAAAGAGATGGTTTGGGAGATCTTTAAAGTTTTCATAGCAATGCCTCTAAAAGTCTATCCATATTGACATTTACCACATCGGAGAGTTAAGCGAATACTACTGATTAGTAACTACTAACCTGGAATCATACTTGTGGTTGAATATTGCTATTGATACTTTCCTCCAATTTCCATATAAACTTTCAGAAACCAATTCACCCTCTGCCTTTCTCAGTTTCATAGGCTTGAAACAATTCAAATTTTATTGAAACTGAGCAAGCCAGAGTTTAGTACTTACTGTCTAAACTGTCACTGCTCTAATTTCTTGTGGATTTCTAAGTCCACTCCATTTGCAATTTGTACAGTTTCCTGCCAGAAAACATGATAATGGGTTGTTAATTAAAAGGGCAAATCTAGACATTATGATATGGCTCAGTGCTTAATACCAAAACCAGATGTGCTTGGGTAGTGACTGTGGCATTTCATGTCTCTTCTCCTCCATTGGTTAGTATGCAGCCGAGGAGCCAGGGATAGTGCATCATCACTGATAATGATCAACTTCTTCCAAATGAAAAGAAATGTATAATTTCTCATAGCTTCTATTTTTATGGAGAAAATTAAGTAGCATTCTATTCCAGCCCTTTTTAAGAGATATTTCAGGTGGGTGGATATATTTTGAGTTCTAAGCTCATTATTTAGAAATTAGTTTTATCACAAGTAGTTATACATACTCTGAGTCTATAATTTTCATGTTTTCTGACTTGTCACTGGGTATATTTGCATCTTAGCTCTTACTTGCAGATTGTCTATTAAGTAGACTAACCTGGGTTTATTCCTATTTATCTTACCTTATACTCTAAGAAGGAGCATGTCTGAGTACTTCTGGGATGGGGATAACTTGGAAAATGGAATACTGTATTTATGTTTTCTACCTAAGAGTGCACTCTAGTAATATAAACTCACTGAATGGCTACTGAATTAGTTGGCTTGTAATCAATATTAAAGGCAACAGAAAAAATCATTTTTTTTTTGTCAGAGTTTTGGCATTTTGTTCTGTCTATCCATATCTTTTTATGGCTACCCCCTCAGGTTTTTCCTTTTGATAGAGGACCTAACTATTCCATTGATTCTAGAAATGGCATGGAATTTATCCATTCATCTCATCTATCTCATCTATAGCATGTGTAGTATCCTTTGAATTTTTGAGGAAGTCAGGTTGTAGCTAATGTGACAATGAACACAACTCTTTCATTGCCAAAGTTGACATGCATTTTTTCTTAGCAAAGGAGGAGGATTTTAAAATTTATTTTATTTTGAAATGAGGAATAAAATTTCTGAAAATCCAAATTTTATGATTCTGTTCCTTGTTAGTTAGTAATGCAGAACATTTTGGTGAGTTAACCCATGAAAAACATGAACCAGTACTTAATATATTTTAGACAATAAATGTTAGCATCGTTATTAATTTTATTTTTTAAATATATTTTAATCCTCACTGAAGGATATGTTTTTATTAATTTTAGAGAGAAAGGAAAAGAGAGAGAGAGAAAGAGAGATGAGAGGAAAATATCAATCAGTGCCTCCAGTACTTGCCCAAACCAGGAACTGAACCTGAATCCTACATACTATGTATCCTGACTGGGAATCAAACCTACAACCTTTTGGAGTACAGGATTAGCCTCCAACCAGGTGAGCCACTCAGCTAGGGCTAATTTCATTTTTATCCATAGTCAAATCACTTATCATGAGTAGCTTATTATTTAATGAGAAACATTGTTTGCCTTCTCCAGCTACTAACTGGGAGGCTCTGTACACTTTCTGATAAAGGCTTTGATAATGCAAAGTCAGTTCATTCAGTCAGGTTTTATTTCTCTTTATTTATCTCTTCTGTTTTAATATAATGAGGATTTACCATACCTGTTAATGCAACATAAATCTTCAGTTTTATTATCCACCCCATCAGCAAACTAGCTCTTGTGAAAATTGAAGCTAAAAGATATTTGATAAAATATTCCATCCTTCTTAATAGTGAAAACTGGTCTAAAAATCATTTTTCAAAAGCTTTTGCCAAAGGTTTAGAGTTCCTCCAAGCCTTTAAGAAGTTGGAAATGTTATTAAGCATTTTGATTTCTTTTCCTTTCATCTCCTGTTTAGAAATTAATGTCTTGCAAAATTGGCTGCAAATGTTAAGGTTTTTTAAAGATATGCAATCTATTCATCAGTCTAATAAAACTGCAACATGTTAAAAATAATCAGTTTTCTGCTAGACATTTTGGCCAATCTTGGAAAGATTTTTGTCTTTGCTTTTTAGACCTTCTGATACCTTTTTAGTTTCATTTTTAGCACCGGGAAAACCAAGCACTCAAATCATTTCATTTTAATATGTATTCAATCTCTGGTTTTTGTAAGGTAGCAAGATGTGTCCCCAGTTCTGTTTTTTATAAAAAAAAAAAAAGATAATAGACAAGTAAATAATACATGACACTGGACAATCTTTGGATTTCTGTTTCTCCCATCCAGGCTGTGTCTTCTTTTTCCTGCAGACTGTATCCATAGCTGATGTAAAAGGTCCTCTGGTTTATCTCCTTAGTGGGATCATTGCCTAAAGCTTTGTATAAAGAAGCAATTCAGAGACTGTCCCAATATGTCTGCATATGGACGTGCATATGGTCGATTTTATCTTTAACTTCGAATTCACTTGAATCTGTAGGCTATGTGTATTCCCATAATGGTAGTTGAACAATTTCCTTGTGATGGTTCAATTTCTTTCTCTCTTTCTGCATCTCCTCTCCTTTTCCTCTATTCAGTAGTAACCTTCCTAAAAAGGCTCATTAAAAAAAAGAAATTCAGAACACCCATGCAAGCAGGCGCCAGGAAGTTTAGATAGTGGTCCCATCACATTCAACTGTTTGGCTGGAGCTGGATGCATAAATAGAATGGAATGTGATGTTATGAATCCCTTGCTCAAGTGCACAGCATTGAGCCAGGATGGGCCTCACCATCCGTTTATATTTATTGACCTCCTGATGTGCTGGCTGCTATGGAACAACACGGTGCAGCCTTTAATTGAGATATACAGTCTACATGGAAGTGAATCAGGCAGCCTGCTCTATTTGCTTTATATCATCTGGTCAGTTACTTAGGCTCAATAGCCACTGTCAGGGGAATTGTTTTGCCAACTGTTTTAGCTAAGCACCACCTGATTCTTAGAAGTGACTTTTAAGAGTGAAAGTCCTACCAACTTGTAGTTATTCCACATTTCTTACACTTTAACCTGTACTAACAAATCATTAATTTACTCAGCTGAGCTACCTGGGCAAGGTTTATCCTATGATAAAGCTTCAAACCTGGCTTTCTTTCTCTATTGTTTTTGCTTCATAAAGTACGGTCCACACTTAAGCATCTTTGATGTTATGGAAGGTATGGAGTAAGTGTTAAAAATTATTAATTGATTGGTGATTGATTGATTTTTCAACAAATATTCACTGAGATTGATATTTTAAGTACCCTTAAAACATCGCAGATATGGTCTCTGATTTCCTGAAACTTTCATTTTAGGGGAACTAGACATTAATCAGTGAATAAATTGTTAATCATTCAATTACAATTGGGCATAGAACTATAAGGGATAGAGTATCCTAGTAGAGCAACCAAAAAAATCCTGACCTTATATCAAGTCTCAAAAAGAAAATGATTGTTGAGTTCAGTATAATCCTGGACAGTATGTATATGTTGGTGGAGGGGGGCTAGAGACAGTGTAAGGCGGATGTTCTTAGTAGCAGGGGAATGGCTTTCTCCATGGCCATGGGAAGGGAAGCAGCACAGAATATACTAAGGACTGATGGACGCTCAAGGTGGCTGGAAAAGAGAGTAAAGGAAAGAATGTAATGAGGGAGATAAAGCCCATGATGATGACAGGTCCAGACTGTGATGGGCCCTGCAGGTCCTGTTAATGATTTAGGACTTTCTTTAAATGTTAGGAGAAGCCCTGGGAATGTGGTAGACAGTAATTGGCTACTCAGCCCAAGTGAAAGAATAGACTAGAGGACGGTAAACATATACACAGGGTCCAAATTAAGAGGCTGTCATACTAGTCCAGAAGGAGATGCTGGCAGCTTGGTTTAGGGAGATATAATAAAGGAGATGGATTAGTGAGAGATTTAGGAGATAAAAATCAACAGGACTTAATGAGTGATTGGATATGAGGGAAGAATCAAGAAAGGAACTCAGGTTTTTGTCTTGAATATCTGGCTAGATGGTATGGTGTTAATTTCACTGATCCAAGAACAGGAAAGAAAGACCCACTCCTGGGGAGAGAGCAGAACTGGGGGATTGGTTTGGGTGATGTTGGTCCAGCTAGAGGTACCAAGGGGATATCTAATCCAAGATGTCAAGTAGATAGTTGGTTATTTGAGTCTGAAGCTCAGAGGAACTTCCTCATGGAAATAGAAATAGGAGGGTTGCATAAGATAAAAGAAGATGAAACATGAGTGATTAGATCACCTCAGATATATCTATTACAGAGTCTGAGTTGTTCAGTTATATTTCACAAGCACTTATTGAGTGCTTGGTCTTTGGCAGGTTCTTCACTAAATACGAGGCACATAAAAAAAAGAAAAAGAAATTCAGTAAATAACATGGGACATCTCTTTGCCTTGGGCCTAAATTACTTTTCACATCATCCAAGACAAGATATCTCAGTACATCCAGGGAAAACTCTGAAGCAAGCAAAATCTGTACCTTAGTCCTGTCTTTCTCGTCTTTGCTTCCATCTAACTTAAATCTCAGCAACCTGAAGTTCATTCCATTCTTGTTTTTCTTTGATAGACATGTAGCCTAGTTGGTAAGCACATTCTTTATATTAACTCCTTGCCTTCTTGCCTCTCTCAGTTTTAAGGAACATCGTGGCCTTTGGCCTGTCTTTTTAGAGCAAGATTTATAAAATTGCTTCTTACATTAAGAAATGCATACCTGTCTTATTGTTGTGTTTTTTTTTTTAATTTTTGAGAAATATATTCACCGGTATGAAATATTCCTCTCATATTGTAAAGGTTATAAATTGCTAATGACTTTCATATTATGATGATATTGACTCTACTAGAGAAAATTAGGCCACACCCTTCTAGTCTGGTTCTAAAATAAGATTCATTGGCAAAGTGAAATTGATAGCCTCTTTTATAGCTCTTATTCTTTGGAGACTCATGGCTTAAAATAGTCTACATTTTAAGACTGTATTTTTGAAATTATTGTGTCTGGACCACCTGCATCAGAATCACTTGGACATGCTTCTTAAAAATGAAGATCATTGAACCCTATCTTCCAAATGTTTTTTATTATAGCTGGTATAAATCCCAATAGTTTACATTTTTAATAAGCAGCTCAGGTAGTGGTTATTTATAGTAGATTTTAAGAAATCACTCTTTTGCAGTGTATCAAAATTTGTGTCAGTTATTTCTTCAATAAAATGGTGATTTGTGTCAGTTATTTTATCAATAAAACTGAGAAAAATTGCACATCTCCATATTCTGAGTTAATGAGAAATTATACAGTTATGTGAGCCAGGTCAGTTTCTTACTGATTTTGAGAATTAATAATTGAGTCACAGGAGTTAAAATATTTAACAGGTTATTCAGTGATAAAGTGATCACATTACACATATTTCTTTTCTAACATATAAAAATTCATGTGACTGAAGAACAGAAAGGAATAGGAAAAGTAGGAGAGAATGGGGTTCCAAAAAGAGAGTATGTAAAGGAAGAGAGTGATATTGACAAAATGGAAATTAAAACTTGGTTCCAGCATAGCCTTTCATTCAGTTTAGTGTTTGTTTTGCTTTAACTGGCATGCTATGTGGGTTCCTCTTCTGCATGACTGTCCCTTTATGAATACTTCTAGAGGTTCGACTTCTTTCCTGTCTCCAGAACTAGCAAGTCTCTCTTTCCTCCCCCATCCCCAGGAAGAACGCCGTGTGATTTATGTTGGCAAAATCAGACCTGACACAACACGGACAGAACTGAGGGACCGTTTTGAAGTTTTTGGTGAAATTGAGGAGTGCACAGTAAATCTACGGGATGATGGGTGAGAATCTTCAAGATTATTTCTTATTTAGAAGCTGACATGTGTAAAAAATTATGGCTCTAAGATGACTAGGATGGGGATGCTTTGACAGATGACATGTTGAGTTCAGAACCTTATTTATTTTCTTTCATCCCTATTTATTAATCTTTCTAGTTGAGATTTCCTGTCCCAGAAATAAGTATTTAGCAGCTTGACAGGACAATCACACTGATAAATGGGCACAGTGGTTCAGATGTGGGCACCAGCAGAATCTCCCAAAGTAGAAAGTGCGATAGTCATATATGCTAATGCTTCCTCACTAGCTTTGAACTTCTCCTCTTTGTCCACTGCAGAGACAGCTATGGTTTCATTACCTACCGTTACACCTGTGATGCTTTTGCTGCTCTTGAAAATGGATATACTTTGCGCAGGTCGAATGAAACTGACTTCGAGCTGTACTTTTGTGGACGCAAGCAATTTTTCAAGTCTAACTATGCAGACCTAGGTATGGATTTTATTGTACATGGAATGAGGAATCCATAATGTAGAGCTCAAAATGTAAATGTAAATGTAAACTGAAGGCACATTGGCTTGAACCATTATTTTACTAGAGGGAATATTTGAATAGAAATTTTATATTATTATCATTTTTTTAATGCACGAGACAGTTTCAGAAACAAAGGGTGTAGGTTTAGGCAACAAAAGGAAGAAGTAAATTTGTTGTGCTATCTTCCCAGATGCTGATATTCTGCATTGTTTGTATACAGAGGTGGTATGTTGTCTTTTGTGTGTATATGTATTGTGTGTATATGTGGGTACAGTGTATATCTGCGTGTGTCTATATCTATGTCTATAATTTGCCATTGTTTTCTGTTCCCATCCCTGAAGACTTTTTTCCAAACCTATAGCCTTACCATCATTGTTTCAAGGAACAGAATGTACAAAAGTCTTGTTCTTTTCTATAATCACAAAAACTTAGATATGTTAATATTTTCAACAAAGTACACCCTGAGAGAAGAAAAAAAAATTTTATATGTTAGATCACATTATACTTTCTTTAAGAGAAAAAAGAGAAAATGTTATTTTTTAGTACTTCTAAATGTTAGGCACTGTGTCAGGGGCTTTGAAAGTGTTTTCTCATTTAATTACTAGAACAGTCATGGAAGATAGATATTATCATTGTCATTCCCATTTTATAGACAAGAAAATGAAGCATCCATAAGTATTGATTTTTTTTCTTGTTCTAAAAGTTGTACAGAGTCAAGGGGTAAAATTTAGAAAATATAAAAAAGCTAAAAAAATAGGAAAATCAGCTATCAGCCTATCACCTAGAGATAACCACTATGACTTAGTGTGTGTTGTACATTCCAGTATTTTGTCTCAGAATGTCTAATTTCTTATAGTTAGAGTCATACTATATATATATATATATATATATATATATATATATATATATATATATACTTTTAAATTCTACTTAACTCAATTAATATTATACAAGCTCATTTTCCACTGTACTCACAGGATTAAAAATAATTTATCAACACTTTTTAATGGCAACACAGTATTCTGTTCAGTGAATAATGCCATTATATTTCAGTCTTCCATTATAGTTAAATATTTATTCAATTTGTAATATTATAAATAATGTCACAATTGACATCTTAATTTTCTTTCAAATTTTAATTTTTTCTTTTGCATGTGTTTTTTAAATCTAATATGTGTATTGTAAAACTTTAGGTTCTTTGGTAAAGGTAGGAAAGTGGCAAATGTCTCTTGCGTATGACACTTATTTTAAATCAGTTACACTAATAATCATAAAACTAACATATACATCTAAACCTTATTATGTTTCTATCTGCACTTACTTTGGCTTGGTATAACGAAAGAAATGAATATCAAATACTAGGATTTTTTTTTTCTCCCTTCCACCAAAACGATGTCTTCCTAGAGTAATTGATATAGGTAGTGTGCATTGTTCAGGGGGAATATGCTATAATTCACTTCAAAAACTAAATAGATAGTATGAAGCAGGGGAGAGGTAGCTGACTGTTAGAGAGATAGAGGCCCAGGGATGAAAATATAAGCGGTGGCAAGTCATTTGTTCAAATGTTGGCTGATAAAAACAGTCAAGACAGATTGAAGTCTTGAGTTGATTTGACTTATTTTTTTCAGAGATGAAGGCCAGGGTGCTTCTAGTCTCTCAAAACATCTAGAGTTTAAAATAAGCTACCTAGAGGGGCCTTTAGATCACGATTCATCACTGGGAGAGGGAGGATTGAATGGTATTTCCAAATTGAACTAGAGCCTTCCTGAAATATTTCTAAGAAGAATGCTTCCCCTCTTGTTATCTCATCGCCTCGCCAGCAGCAATGAAACGTTGCCTTGCTAAGCTAGCTCTGTATTTTCTGAAAAGTGTGTTTGATGCACACGGTAGTAGCATGGGTTTTTCCAGTTCCCTCAAGCCTGCCAATTGCATGAAGCACAGCCGATCTGAGTGAACACAGCCACAGAGGAGTCAAAAAAACCTGCAGAATTTTGGAATCCTGCAGACCTAGGTTTGAAACCTGACTTAGCTTCTGACCTTAAGCAAACAAACTCTCTCTGATTCTGGTTCTTCATGGGTAACACATCTTATGTTGCTGCTGTGGAGATTAAATTAATGTTTGTGAATCTGTTAACAGTGTCCGGCATAAAGCAGTTGCTCAATAAAGAGTAGCTATGGTTATTTAAAGTGATGGTAATGAGAAGTTGGGAGATTCAAGTTATTTTTAAATGGAAGAATCAGCATTGGCTTTGGAGCTGAACAACATTCATATGTGTCTGGTTTTTGTCCCTGGAAGAGTTCACGTTCAATGTATCAGGTCACGGCCACTGAATGTGATGAGCAGAAGAATATACTGGACCATTAGAGGGCTTTTGAGCTGTCCTGTGTATCAGATGTAAAGTGAAAATGATATAAGGCAGACACATTTTATCAAGAGCAAAGTGACCAAGTATTTTAGATAGATTTAACCAATTTTTATTCTGTGTATTATTTTTGCTACCCCAAATTAAGTTAGCTTGCCCACCCTATTTCAATACTCTTGGGGCCATTGCAATAATATTAGTGCAAAACATGGTGATTTCAGTTACGATTTATGAGCCAGTTTTATAAATGAGATTCAGAATTTAAAGAGACAATCAAAGTTACTATGGTGAAGCCAGGATTTAATTCTGGTTTCTATGACTCTGTAATCTGTGTGTTTATTTACTGTCTTATAAGAAAATGGATCTTTCTGAAAAATCCCTATGAAAAAAAATCTTAAAGAGGAAGTATAAAAATTAAATTACAACTATCTGACCAGAAGAGAAGGTTGGGTCAATAAAAAAATATAATAATTTTGATCACAAATTAGTTATGGTGTAGAACTTAAACACATAAGAAAAAATGAATTTATGCATATATAAATAACTTTTCATAAGCCCTTTTCATTTATTGGTAAATCATTTCCAGATCCCAAGACAAATATTTTCACCCATAACTTTAGTAAAATTTAACAAATATTAAATTTATTATCTACTTTGTGCTAACAGTTTTCTGGGTGCCAGGACTGCAGTTGTAATGTGATTTGTTACTTACTTATACAATGTCAATATTTGTAACAATTTATTTAAAAATAGAGTGTTTTTTGGGTTATTTCTATCAAACTATGTATTATATTTGACTTGTGTTGCAGCATCCTTCCTTTAGTGTAGAAAAAGTGGTGGGATAGATGGCATTGCCTCAGGAAGTACATGTAACCACATCTGTCTTCATGCAACAAAAAGACTTTAGGGTACCTAGTGTGTGATGTAGTGTGCTCATATATGTGGGTATATATGTAAATTCCCGCCTGTGTATTTCACAGTGAGGAAAGTCTTAAGAACCACTGTTTCAAAGTACTTTTAGTATTTGCTAATAAAAATATGAAAACACTGAAATTCTGGGTTTCATGCAGAATAATCCAAATTCAAGACATTTTAATGTTTCTCCATATTTTCTCCAAGATATCTATGTGTGTTCTTAATGGGCTTATGCTAACCTCACTGTCATACACACTCAGTCATCAGCAGACTCTCTCACCTTCCATCTGCAATGCAACTGGAACTCTGATTCCAGGCTGATTTCTAGCAATGAGCAGGGTTTTCTTGCCTTTGGTTTTTTATAAAACAAGATTTTGATTTGAACATCAGCTTCTGGTGAGATTTTAGTAATACAAGCAAACTAGTCATTTGGCCATGAAGAGAAGGGTGGGAGCCATTATCATTTAAGAATTAACCATAGAAGATGTTAGTGAGGAAAGACTGGCCATTTCTGTTCTTGCTTTTATGCCTGGGTCTGATTCTAAATGTTGTTTTGTTTTTTCTTACCTGAAAAAACTTGCTTGACACAAATTCCATAAAGACAAGGAGTGGTGAGAATGAAAGAGAAAAAGAAGTGCAGGAATTTATTTGTTTCTGGAAGCTAGGATGGTTAGAGTGGATTATAGCAAATGCTAAACATCAGTCTGGGGCTACAGGGTTTGAGGGATTGCAACCATTTCAGCACAACATCTTGTGAGATCAATGATCTTACCTCCACATTACTGAGTCTTACACTCCTCTGTCATGTGGAGCCTTATATTTTCTGGACTTGGTCTGGGTAAAACATGGAAATGTTCATATTTTGGTAGGATTATTAATGTTTTCCAGAAAGGACTGTCTTCCCTTTGAAATCAGTGCTTTCATTAGAATTGAAGTATTTAAAAGAAGTTTTCATTATATTTCCAAGATTTTTTTTCTCAATTGCAAAGCCAGCAAAAATATCTGACTTTTTTTTTTTTTTGAGATGTCAGTGGAGAAAATCAGAAATAGTTAACAGATTTTCACTTTACATCCAACATTGCTGAAACACATTGGTTTCATAAAGGGCTCTTTGAACTAGCATGTGGGACTTAGCACAAAAGCTGACATGGGCTAGTTTAAGGATTCAAGAGAGACCATGGCTTTATTTTCACCTGCATATTTTTTGTCTCTTATTAATTAGCAAAAAGACTGAATTTAGGCTCTCTAGACATGAAACATATCCCTAGACCTTCTAATTTGGAAGATTTTTGTGCCACTAGTCATTTCTGGGATACCCAAAAGTATGTATTAATAGTAGGTGACTGAGTCATGTTTCTCCTACCTTAAGAGAGAGCAACAGTATGGAGAGTGGGTGAACTTCTGATTCTCTCCCTACAACTCAGCTGGGTTTTTGCTAAATGAAATTAGTCTCATTGAACAGGAAAATTAGTTCCATCTTCTACTCTTGTCTCTCCACCTAAGTTGTTGAGGAACCTTAGGTGAGTGGTTGGACATGCCATGGGAGGGTTGGGGGATTATTGTCAAAGACTATCCTTGGATAAGTTGCTATTGAATATTTGCTAAGTCTATTTTGACTACTTTCCAGGAGAGTTTAAATTTAAAATGCATCAATATATGAGTATTTTGAGTGCACACCACACCTTAACATATATATATATATATATATATATATATATATATATATATATATATATATATATATATATATATAATACACACACACACATATATATATATATATAATTTTAGAATATTTTAAAATATATTGATTAGATAAGCTGCTCTTACATAAGGTCTTCTTAAATGTGATGATTGAGTTGATGACAATCAGGAAAGGGTGCATCTCACCTGGCTTGGATTTCTTTCAGATTCAAACTCAGATGACTTTGACCCTGCTTCCACCAAGAGCAAGTATGACTCTCTGGATTTCGATAGTTTACTGAAAGAGGCCCAGAGAAGCTTGCGCAGGTAACATGTTCCCTGCCTGAGGATGACAGAGGGACGGTGAATACCTCACGGGACAGTGCGTCCTCCCCTAACAGACTATTGCAAGTCATACTTAGGAATTTCTCCTACTTTACACTCTGTACAAAAACAAATCAAAACAACAACAATACAACAACAACAACAACAACAACAACAACAATGGTTTACATGAACACAGCTGCTGAAGAAGCAAGAGACAGAATGGATATCCAGTAAGCACATGTTTATTCATGGGTGTCAGCTTCGCTTTCCCTGGAGTCTCTCAGTGATGGTGAGAGTGTGTGTGTGTGTGTGTGTGTGTGTGTGTGTGTGTGTGCATGTGTGCCTGGTTTGGGGGAAGTGTGTATGTATAGGTGGGGACTGGGGGCTCCTGACCAGAGTGTACCAGGGCAAACCACTTCAAATGGCAGCAGTTCCAAGAAGACACACGTAAAACCTAGAACTTCAAAAATGTTCATATTTTATTCAAAAGGAAAAAATGAATAAATTCAAAAGGAAAGAAAACCAATTAACCAACCAACCAACCAACTAACCAACGAACCACAAGTCACCCTAAAATGACAGCTACTGATGTCTGGGCATCAGCCTCCGTACTCTTGTTTTTTAAGAAAGTACAAAATCAACTTGAAGCAAGTGTTCTCTCTTAACATGATTATATGACAATCCCGAAGAAACAACAGGTTCCATAGAACTCTCTCTCTCTCTCTCTCTCTCTCTCTCTCTCTCTCTCTCTCTCTCTCTCTCTCTCTCTCTCTCTCTCTCTCTCTTTTCCCCTTTGGCCATGGAATCTGGGTGGGAGAGGATACTGCGGGCACTGGAATGCTATACTTTCCTAACATTTTGAAGTTTCTGTCATTCGTCCTTATCCTGACACCCATGTAAATGTCCAAAAATGTTGATCTTCCACTGCAAAATTCAAAAGCCTTGTCCATGGCCAATCATGCAGCTTGGCCAATGGTTCTTTCTGAGGAGTGGGGGCGATGTTACATTACAGAATGAGAGTTGGGTAGAACTCTCTGCGATGTGTTCAGATAGTGTAATTGCTACACTCTCCAATGTAGTTGAGTATTTACAGATGTTAAATGGAGTATTTTTATTTTGTGTACATACTATACAACAACGTTCTTTTTTTGTTACAGCTATGCACTGTAAATGCAGCCTTCTTTTCAAAACTGCTGAATTTTTCTTAATCAAGAATATTCAAATGTAATTATGAGGTGAAACAACTATTGTACACTAACCTATTTAGAAGCTGAACTTACTGCTTATATATATTTGATTGTACAAAACAAAAACAAAAAAGACAGTGTGTGTGTCCGTTGAGTGCAGCAACAAAACGATGCTTCGCGCATATCCATCCCTTCTTAGGTGAGCTTTGATCTAAGCATCTTGTCAAGAAATATCCTAGCCCCCTAAAGGTATTAACCACTTCTGCGATATTTTTCCACATTTTCTTGTTTTTCTTTGAAGTTTTATACACTGGATTTGTTAGGGGAATGAAAATTTTCTCATCTAAAATTTTTCTAGACGATATCATGATTTTATGTAAAGTCTCAATGGGTAACCATTAAGAAATGTTTTTATTTTCTCTATCAACAGTAGTTTTGAAACTAGAGGTCAAAAATCTTTTTAAAATGCTGTTTCATTTTAATTCTTGTGATTTTAATTTGATACAAAATGCTGAAGTAATAATTGCAATATGATTTTTACAATAATCAATGTGTGTCTGAAGACCATCTCTGAAGCCAGTATCTCTTTCCCTTGGCAGAGTATGATGATGGTATTTATCTGTATTTTTTACAGTTATGCATCCTGTATAAATACTGATATCTCATTCCTTTGTTTACTAAAGAGACATATTTATTGGTTGCAGATAGCCTATTTATTATAAATTATGAGATGATGAAAATCCTCAAGCCAGTGGAAATTTTCTACCTAGGATGCATGGCCGTTGTCAGGGTGGAGTTTCAGTGTTTTGTTTGGGAAACTCAGCTTTTGCAGAAGCAGTGTTTCTGCTTGCACTAGCATGGCCTCTGATGTGACCATGATGTTGTTCTTGATGACATTGCTTCTGCTAAATTTAATAATAAAAAAAACAACAACAAAAAACTTCTGAAAAAACCTCCATTTTGAGCATCAGGATTTCATCTGAGTGTGGAGCCCTGGAAGTCAGTACAGTTTGGAGTGTGTATTCACGTTTTTAAATTAAGATTCCATCAAGGTTTGGCTGACATGACTTTTTCTGGAAGACATGCTAATGCCTACTTCTTAATCGTTCTTTTCCTTTTTCTTGCCCAACACGATCTTATAAAATGGATTTCACCCCCAGGCCAATGCAGCTAATTTTGATGGCTGCATTCATTTATCACCAGCATATTGTGTTCTGAGTGGATCCACTGTCTGTCCTGTCAGATGCTTGCTTGGTTTTTTGGCTTCTTATTTCTAAGTAGATAGAAAGCAATAAAAAATACTATGAAATAAACTTGTTCACAGGTTCTGCGTTACAACAGTAACACATCTTTAATCCGCCTAATTCTTGTTGTTCTGTAGGTTAAATGCAGGTATTTTAAACTCTGTGTGAACGCCAAACTGAAGTTTACAGTCTTTCTTTCTGAATTCTGAGTATCTTCTGTTGTAGAATAATAATAATAAAAAAGACTATTAAGAGCAATAAATTATTTTTAAGAAATCAATATTTAGTAAATCATATTATGTGTTCAAGGACCAGATGCGTTCTCTATTTTGCCTTTAAATTTTTGTGATCCAGTTTTAAATACATTCTCCTTCTTGCTCTGGATTGTTAACATGAGTAAGAATACTGGGTTCCTTTTCTTACTTATCAAAAGACAGCATTATAGATCTCATGTTGAGAATTAATTTATTCCCCCTCTGGCCTGACAAATATTGTTCCTATAAAGATCATAGTGTTTTTTTTTTCTTTTTCTTTTTCCCATGGACTTCAAATTGCATCTAAAATTAGTGCAAAGAGAGAATCACTAAACCATCCGAATAGAGCTTTTGAATCTTATGCAGACACTGTGGGTAGCCCATCAAAATGTAAACTATATTCCTTTTATTTAAAAAAAAATTTTTTTGGAGAGGATCTTTCAAATGAACACATGCACCCCATCACTACTGGAGGCAAATTTCAGCATAGATGACCACAGGCCATTGCCTTCACGCTGTGGTAAGTACCACATCTACAATTTTGGCGACTGAACTGGTGCTTTAGAAATGGGGGTGTGTGTTTGTGTTTTTTCTTTAAAGAGATGTAACAGAATAATTCTTCCAGTGCAACAAAATCAATCTTTTGCTAAATGACTCCGAGAGAGCAACGCCTGGGCTGTCAACATTCAAAGCAGCAGAGAGGGAACTTTGCACTATTGGGGTATGATGGTTGGTCAGTTGCAAAAAGGAAACCTTTTCATGCCTTTAGATGTGAGCTTACAGTAGGTAATGATTATGTGTCCTTTTATGATGGCTGTAATGAGAACTTCAATCACTGTAGTCTAAGACCTGATCTATAGATGACCTAGAATAGCCATGTAATATAATGTGATGATTCTAAATTTGTACTTATGTGACAGACATTTTCAATAATGTGAACTGCTGATTTGATGGAGCTACTTTAAGATTTGTAGGTGAAAGTGTAATACTGTTGGTTGAACTATGCTGAAGAGGGAAAGTGAGCAATTAGTTGAGCCCTTGCTGGGCTTTATTTTTTCTTCCCCACCTGCCAATTCTACATGTATTGTTGTGGTTTTATTCATTGTATGAAAATTCCTGTGATTTTTTTTTAAATGTGCAGTACACATCAGCCTCACTGAGCTAATAAAGGGAAACGAATGTTTCAAATTTACTTCTGCTTTTCTTATTTATTGGAACCACATTTGTGGCATGTTCCTCATTTGAGGCCACAGTGCTCCTTCCTTACTATTCTCTTTCCCTTCTGCATCGCCCTCCTTTCTCCCTGCTTTTCCATATTCATGGATGGATTTCCCCTCTAAGGTAACGGGTACCTTCTGTATTTTACCTTGTCTCCTTGTGAATGGCAAAGGCAGAAACAGTGACTCCTTGAATGAGAAGTGATGTGGGACTTGATTCCATGGACGAGATCTGTTTTTCTACTTACCTCCAGAAAGTGTGTATTTTTAAGCACAAGCCAATCACCTCTAGTGAGTAACCCACTCAACATTCAGCTTAGAAAGCGGTTCTACTGTGGAAGAAATGAATATTTTTGAAGACTTATCATGGGAGACAGTAACCTCCTTCCCACCCGTCATATATAAGTCATCAGGTTAAATATGGGATAAGCTGATAGCTGCCAACACTGCTTGCTGTTAGGATGTCCGCTGTGTCCACTGTGTCTTGTCTCCAAATTTCCCATGGTCGGCCGGCCCCACTCCCAGCAACTTTTACTGAAAGACCCAAAAGAAGTATTGCATTGGGAAGAAGTAGTTAGACATACTCTAGTCCCTGTCCCTTAACCCCATCTCCTAGAGAAAAAAAGCATGCTTTTAATTATTAGAAATGTGGTAGAACTATCCATTGTACATGAATATCTGCTAAGGAATGCAAAGAAGACTCCCCAACATCCTACTTCTTCTTGGTACCAGCTTCAAATTTGCCACTTATTTTATCAAAGCACAAAATAAAAACTTGCCATTATCTTCCCCAAATAATGCACTCACCTAAAACCATGGTACTCAGCACTTTGAGATGCAGTGAACAAGCCCCAGATACACCCTTATCTCCACTGACCCTTAAATTGTATGGAATATTTTTTAATCTTCTGGCTGGAACAAGCAAGGGCATTAGAAAAATGCAAGTCTTTCTTTTTAAAGAGTTAACTTTTTAGCCTTTAAAACCTTTTGAGGCTAAAGAGGGATCTTTAAGAAGCAGCAGATGTAGATGCTGGTCCAGCGCCGGGACATCCTGATGAATTGTAAAGAATTTATCTGATGTTCCTCAAACTTTGCTCTAAGA